TCGGGCGAAATCATCCGTGAACTTCGCTACCAAATATCATCACTCAATACGTGGCAAGAACATTACGATTTGCCCTTAGCCATGAACAGGAAGCGTTCTGAACTTTCAGTACGTGTTAAGAAAAATCAAATGAAAAGTAAGATTCGTCGACCTCGCATCTTTGGTGGTCGGACAGAAAGTGAATTTGCTCGTCTAAGGCAGTGGCTTCATGTAATCGCGTATACGTTGCGGCATAAGACTCGACAAGAGCTTCATAGCAGTCTCCGAAAGCTAGTAAAAATGATGGATCGCGAGGGCTGGAATGGTGAGGATGCAATGGACGATCTGAAATGGAGTTGGGAAGGTTCTATTCTATTCGCAGTGACTGTCATAACCACTATTGGTGAGTCTTGGGATTTAAAACCTAATTGTGGATCGAAAACTGCAGTCAAAAAGCAAAGCCTCACACTATTAAAATAATAAAAATAGAATAGCTTTAGACCCCATCACCTTGAATTGACTTCCTCCTCGTGGTGGTGCTGTCTCTAGCCTTACATTTGTCGAGCACCCATCTGGAACAAGAGCCTCGTAGTTTGTATCAAATAAAAGCTAACTTTTCCTAATTTGCTGCAATTTCACTTGAGGTAATTGAGTTCCAACTGGATGAAATTCGTCGACGGTAATGTTGCAGGTATTGACTAGGTGACGAACCATTGGAACTTGAACAGTCACTCGTGGCCCCTTTCAGAGCAGCTATAAACCACGCAACTGACTATATTTGGAAACTATTATGCGGCTTACCTTGGTCCTCTTGGTTTAGTTTTTAAGTACAGGTTTAGCTACCCGGACAATTGTGTTCTGGTATTTTATGCTTAAATCGTGTATTTAATCAAAGGATTAATTGATGAGAGCTGGAGATCGAGTGTTTTTTTCTAAAAAACGGGAAACTTCGCAAGGAAATGGGTCAATTTTCCAATGCGAGCTGTGGTAATATGTGCTTACCAGGCGTGTATTCCAACACACACTAAATTGTATCCATCCTTTGACAAGCATCTACATTCTCACCAAGGTTGAAATGCTTTGAAGACGTCCAATAGGAGTGCAACAAAATCCACGACTGCCTATACTACTGTTCCAGTGTAGTCTTGCCTTATTTACTGGATACGCAAAGGTATTCGATTTAACCGCCAAAGCGTTGGGCTTCAAAGTCGCAAAATCGCGTCACTGTCCCTTTTCACTTTGATACTTCTTCGCAAATTTGGAGCGATTTTGTCTAAATGCATCCTTTGTCATTTCGACCTGACGAATTTTGGATTTCATGTTAACATCACTGCATATTTCGACAAGCCAAGGGCGAGGTTTGGTGAAAGACTGTGTGTGTTCCCCTTAACGAAGGGCTTTATTAGAATGCAGTGGTCTCACTTTGTTATTAATGTGAACTTGCAAACTGAATTCGGCCTTTAAAAAAATTGCAATTTGGTGTCTAACAATTGTTTCGTCGAAGGAAATGGAAATAGTTTAGCAAATCATAAGGTTAGTAGGTGCTACTGAAGTCAGAAGTGGCGGTGTTAGAGTTGTGAGTGTAGCATGGACTCTGACTGATAAACGCCTTGGCACCTACGGCTCGCTTGTTTCCAATGCGGTCTACACGAGTGAATGATGACTGCGTGTTTTGGAGGCAAAGTCACTCTGTGCGTCAGAATAGCCCATCGCGACACACTTCCAGAAACGAGCGAGATATCAAAGATCTGGAGAGTCCTGTCGTCTATGCCACTTTTTTTACCAGTGTAAGTGTAATCACATTAGAAGGTGAAAGACTGACTGCATTGAACTTGTATTAAGTGTTTTGTCTTCGTGGGGTTTGCATCGCTCTTGTGACCTTTAGGTAGTGTCTTTAAAACGACTCGACGCACATTGCAAGGGTGTTCCTTTCTTCTCTCCAACAAAGTTTACATAACAAATCCGACTATAATGTAGCTTAAAGTTGTTACGTAAATTTGTGCACATAGTGATCTCCAAGACCGTCGTCGCCGCTATGGGCAAAATTAATGACCTATTAGCTTGAACTTCACGTAAAAATGTACCTTTGCTCTTCATTTATTACTTTGGGGCACGAATGGATGGGTATGACTCGAAATTTTGTCGTCCTAATTTCTAAGATCCTCGTTTTTTATGGCCTTTGTGTGAAAGTAGCTTATTCTGAGTGAGGTATGTTTAGATTCGATCTGATCCAGTTTAGTGGGTGTGACTTACTTCACACCGTTTGGAATGTTGAATCGAATTATGGTTATAAAAATTATGATTATTTGTGTAAGAGTAGTTTACTGTAATTTTATCATCTTGAATGGTAAGTAGTATTTTCACACTTTGTTGTAGTCGAATTTGCTTGGTACTTTGCATTATATTATAGGATATGCATATTATGTGGAAGATAAAGTGCAAATTACATTATCATTAGGACATTTTAACTCACTCAAAGCGCCGCGGTAACTGAACCACATCTCAAGTATCTATGGCTTGTGGTCCACTGAATCAGCGCCATTGAAACTCCGTTGCCCCACAAACTCTAGGTTCAGGTTTGAAAGTGTATTAGGAATTCTATCGCGTTAAGAAAAACATTCCCTTTACTACGCATCACAACCAAGGAAAATTAGAAAACTGATCATCTATGTGTAAGGACAACAGAGATATTGCTTGGAGTTCAATAAGGGGTTCAAGTTTTTGCAATTCAGAGGTGATTCAAGCTGTATGTTTCCTTTATTTAAAGCGTTAATGCAAGGCTAAACATTCCAAAACGCAGAGAAATTAAGACTTCACAACTGCGTCGCGCAGGAACACATAACAAAGTGGACCCGGTGAAGGCTCTATATTAATTCAAACAAAGTGCACTATTAAATGACATTTTTATAAGTATTGTGGCCTCCTGAGACTGCTCTCGACTCAGACTTGCATCTACTAAAATCGGAGCAATGGCCAGGAATTGCGTCACACATCTTTGTTTGTTGTGTGTGGGCGTAAGTTTTGCGCAAGTTCAACAGCACCTCAAAATCTGCTGCTGGAGGAGGATTCGTGCTACAGGCAATCGAATTGGTGTTTGAATAAATTGGTCAGCAAGCGGTTACCTCATTCATTTTGGGTCCTCTTGACACTTGTTGACGACCTAAATGAACAGAACTGTGAAAATTAATTGAAAACTCAAAAACAAGTCATCCTCTTGCAAAATTTCACGTTGGGAATTCATTTACAGTAGTCGGTTTTTGTCTGCATCGCTTTATTCTGCCTATTCAAGTGGAATGCCTTTGATGATAGTTGACGTTTAGGTAATAAATTTCAATGCGGGAAGGTTGCTGTCTTAAAAGGAGGATCTTCTAAAGAGCAATGTGAACCTTAAATATTAGGGTGATGATGACCTTTTCAAATGTGTAAAGTAAGCAAGCGATTTTAAAGGTGAGAAGAGATGAGGAGAGCTATCATCTAAACAACCCTGGAAAGAAAACTGATGTACGATACAAACTACCCTTATTGTGGAGGATGGAAAAGAGGTGAGAGAAGCATTGCACACTACTCCCTGTTTCGAACCAGCTACGCCCGCGGCAACTAACTACAAAGCAGGGCATTGTTTAGTCCAGGTGTAGTAGAGATTGTTGTATGCATCAGGACTAGGGCGTATATCTTTTACTGCTCTTTTCAACAAAGTTTGGGGCTTATTTGTGCAGCCACATTTTGACAATGCCATTGTTCAAGTTATTCTTATCAAATGTACCTAAGCACTACTTTAATTAGGCATTTGTGGAGAACAAAACTACCAGTTCTTGCTGATTGTCCACCAAACAGCGGGCCACACATTTAAGCATCCTGTTGGACACTTATGCTCAGGAGCAAACAGGCTTCTTACTCTTCCGTAACATGATCAGCCGGCCGTGCACGACATTTTCGTAAGTATTTTTGACTATACTGCGGTGAAAATGAGCAGCTATGCTTATCCCTCTCAAAAGGAATCGGCAGTTTCCCCTTCCCTACATTTGCGTTTGCACCCTCCGCTACCGAGTAATGCGCAATGGCTGCCGTGGCTCTGTAAAACAAAAAAATATGCTTAAGCCTTCTTTTTCAAAAATCCAAATTTTTATAGCTTTGTGTAACTATGACCCATCTCTCTCCAGGTGGTAGTTGAACAACTTTTTGCTGCCATACTGTGCATAATAAATAGTTCAAAATGGTCATGCAACATGTTAATTTAAATAACCTGATAAAATCTCTTTAGTCGAAAGTAAACAGGCTTAGCATGGATGGAAGCTTAACTGTGTTCGTTCAGTTGCGTGACATGTACGGTTGCAACTTTTTTCCCTTCATAACAACTTTTCTGCGTTATTTTAAATACGTTGTGTCAAATTTTGAAACCCTGCAATCCACAAAATGTCTTCTTTCCAGGAGAAACTGTTTCATTTCTATGCGGGAAATGATACAGCAATTTCACTTTTGTTAACACATGCTGCTTCTACCTGACATTTGTTACCATCTTTGACTTCTTTTCCGCCTCTCCCCTCCCTCCAAATTCCTATTAACCTACTCTCAGTGAAGTTTAGTAAATTTGAATAAACTCAACCTATTGTCCGATCTCAACAGACGGTTTTGTTAATCTAAAGGTTACGGTCATGCTGTGCCCAAAACAAATGCTGGGAAGGTTCTCACCATCATCTATGCACTTGTGGGAATCCCGCTTGTTTTCCTCTATTTGACCAACATCGGTGACTACCTGGCATCTCTCTTCCGATCTCTTTATACCAAGGTATGCCGACGCTGTTGTGAGGGCACCTGTGTTGGTAAGACAGAAATCCACAGAAAAATGAGCATTTTCAATGATCTGAGGGCACAGTCTCCGGAAATGGATCTAACGCAACGGCGGGACTTTTTGTTGGATGAGTCTCTGCATCGAAACAACATCAATATTATTCGTCGAATAGGCTCTTTCGGCATAGGAAGAGACAAGACAAGAAATTTGAAGAGAGAGGACCTTATGAGGGACTGTGTGGGA